TCTATGAAAGAAAAGTGAAATTAGAATAATTAAAGAAGATTTAGTATATCTAAATCAGCTGTTTGATATAAAAAAAAAAAGATTAGTTACATAGCAACAGTTAAAAAATTATCAAGACCTGTTAAACAAAGGAAAAAAAACAGATTAGTTCAAAATAATTAAACAAAAAGTGCTTAGTAAACCAGAAAGTAGAAAGGTCAAAAGATGCTTTAGGACAAACAGGCAAAATATATAGGCAATGCAAGTTAAATGAAAGAGTATATTAAAAAATAAAAGAATGAAAGAATGGATAGTATATAGTACACAAAACTATAAATAATTAAGAAAAATAATTAAAAAGAAGAAAAAAAAAAATACTAGTAGAACAATAGCAAATGCAAAGTAGAAAAAATGAATTAGCTGTTAAAATAAATAGATACAAGAGTTGTACAAAAACAAAAGAGTGAACAGAAGATAGCTGCCAATAGTAGATTAGAATAAACAGCAAAATTAACATAGTTCTAAATGTGTTAATAAAAAAAGGCAGTAACAAAATTAATATAATAATAGATCAGATAACAGAAATAATAAAGATAAAAAAACCAAAAGCTGAAAAACAAAAACTTGAAGAAATTAGAACAATAGAGGAGTTAGAAGTAGAAATTATTAAACAGCAAAAGCTAAATAAAAGCATCAATCAAGAAATAATAAAAGTTCTAAAAAGAAATATAACAAGAGACAAGAATAAGTATATAATATATACAGATAGTATAACAAATATAAAGGCCAAAGAAAATATAGTAACTGAAAATAGAATGGGCATAAGATGAGTTCAAATTAATGAAACATAAGAATAATTAAAAAAAAAATAACACTAGGCCTAGAATGATGGCAAACATCAATAATAGCTAAGCTAACAGTAATATAAATAGCAATTCTAATAATACCAAAAGAAAAGCAAGTAGAAATATATACAGATAATAATGCTGTAATAAGAAACATTAATAGAAGTTTAAAACAAATAGATAAAAACAAGATCCTTAAAAAGAAGAACACAATATAAATAATAAAGATCAGAGACCTTATTACAACAAAAAACATTCAGATTGAGTTAGTAAAAATAAAAGTCATAGTAAAGATAAATAGAATAACAAAGCTGATAGTCTGGCAAAGAAAAGAGCAACAAGCAAGAAGATAATATAGGTTGAAGAAGTTAGTTATAAGGAAATAGAGTACTGCTTAGAGTGGAAAAACAAACTAACATACTAGCAAGATTGCTATGTAAGTTAATAACAAATGCAAAATTAGAAGCAGAATAAAAAGAAACAAGAGCAATTAAAGAATTAGAATCAGAATTAGAAGTTACAATTTATAATTAGACATATTTTTGAAAAAAACTAAAGATAACAAAAGAGGTGCATTGTATAACAAGAAGAATTAGTGCCAGAAGAAGTACATTTATAAAATATATAATGGATAAACTTCCAACTCTAAAAGAACTTAACAAAAGAAGACCAGATATGTATACAACAATAGAATGACAAATATGTTAAGATAAAGTTAAAAAAATGCAAATGCATTTAGCAGCATATAAAGAACAAGAAAAAAAATTCAAAAGATAGCTATTCAATGGCATGAAAAGGACTCAAAGAAGAGAAAAAAGCCTGAATTCTCTTATATATGTTATATATAGTTCTTTTTGAAAAAATGAAAGCAAAAAAAGTAAGAATAAGAGAGGCACTAATTAAAGGCCTAATCCTAAAAGAAACACAAAAATAATTACAACAGCTCCTAAATGAAAAGTCAAGACAGTAATTTGCAAGTGTAATAGCAAGTATGGTCAAGAATATATTTTATAAACAAGTATAAAGAGTTTGATATAAGAAGATTAGTAAATGAGAGAAAAAAGTAAGAATAATAGGTAAATAAAAAAGAGAGTGCAAAAAAAAGAAGCTGAGACCAAGTAAAGAAAAAAAAGCAAATTAACAAAGAATAAAAAAAATAAAATAAAATAAAAGAAAAAGAAGAACAAATCAGAACAAAAACACAGAAAACAATTTTAGAACTTGTTATAAAAAGGAGAAGGCCCTTTTATTATAAACTTTAAGTAATTAGACAAGTAGCTTATTTCTGTTTAAAGTAATGTGACAGATTGCACTTAGATACTATTAAGGTGGCCAGGTAATGCTAAACATAGTTGTTAAGAATATTTATATAATTGCAAATATAATTTCAAAATTTTAATAAAGTACTAGTATGACTGCTTAAAGAAAAAAAATATATATATATATAATAAATATAATTTTTTATATTTTTTTTTTCAAATATAAAGGACATCAACTCTCTTTGCTGATTACTCATACACAAGTTGTAGAAAAGCAATTCAGAAGTTTGCCAAAAAATGACTGTCTAAACTGACTTTATAGGTTTAAGGAAAAAGATAAAGCTAGTAACAAAAATATAACAAGAGCAAAAAAGAGAAAACTTGAATAACTTGCTAAGAGAATAGAACTGAAAATGCCTTGGTTAATACTAGAAAAAACAGAATTTAGAAAATTCACTGTAACCTAGAAGTGTAGATTTGTAGATTATTGCAACATGTGAACAGAAAAACAAAACAAACATATAGATTAGTTGATGTACAAATAAACCTAATTCGGATAGTGATAGATATAAGCATAAAAGATTTCAGAACAACAAGTAACAAACTAAAATTACTGATATTTAAACTAGAAATAAGTAGCATCAAAACCAAAAAGAAAGTCTAATATCAATCTATATCAAGAGAGCATATTTAGTAGCAAACAGTATACACAACAAGATATTCTTTAACTAAGTAAGCAAAATCTTTGTAGCACTATACAGAGAAGATAAAATTAATGTTATACTAACAGAACAAGACTTAATAGAGATTGCCTTGCTATGTATAACTAGAAAAATAATCAAAAAAAAACAAAAGAAGAGCAACTAGAAAAGAAGATTAACATTAACAAACAAAGCAAAAATGCTATAATAGAAAAATCAGCAATAATGCAATTACAGAACAAAGAAAAAGAAATACAGTAATAGTTAAATAAAGCAAACAGAAGTCAAGAAAAAACACACAAAGTAATATAAGAAAAGAAGACAGAAAATAAAAAAGCAGTTAAAAAGAAAGCACAAGATAATATTAAAAATATACAAAAGAAAGCAAGTATAAAGGTAAGTCTAATAAACAAAGACCAAATAAAAGGAAATTCACCTATCTAAAAAAAAATGTAGAAGAACAAGAAGAAAAACAAGAACAAGAAGACACCAAAAAAAAATCGAAAAAGAAATTAACATATTTGAAGAACTCTTAGAAGAGAGCATATGAGCTCTGAACAAAAAAAACTGTAATCAAAACAACAGTCTACTTGCTAATATACTAGCATATAATGTATCTAGTAAAACAAAAGAAGATTGTATAAAATTCATTATGTGGTCTCTAAGAAACAACATAATGTTAAAGACATTAGAAAAATCCTCAAAAGATGAAACTTATAGATAGAGGTAAACTTCAACTGTGAATATAGCAGAAGTAAAGCAATACAAAGAATCAGCAAAAAAAAGAGTAACTAGTATAAAATGATACCAAAAGAGAAAAAAAAAGGTAGTAGGAAAAACAAACACAATATAATAAAAAATAGCAGAAGGAAAGAAACAGTAAAGCAAAAACCAAAAAAGAAGAATCTGAATAGAAAGAAAATAAAACCAAGGCAAATAAAAACCAATGTAGAATAAGTGAAGAATTAGAAGACACAAACTACATAACAATCTGGAACATGCCAATAAACATAAACAAGAAAGAAATAGCATACATCTGCAGAAGATTTAGAAAAACCCATGTAGTAAGAATTAAAAGGTTAAAATATAAAGCCTTAGCAATAGTACAAATAGAAGAAACACATGAAGATATATCATAGGCTATACTAGTAAACAATACCAAATTAGTATGAGTAACCAAAAAAATAGAGAATTATGAAGCAAGAGAAAGACAAAGAAGATATACAACAAAATTAACAGAATTACTAGAAAGCACTTCAGAAGTTCTACTATTACAGTGTTTAAAAAACAAAAAGGTTAAATCAGTTCATATACCTCCAAATAGAAATAGAAATTAAAGAAGAACTGCAACAGTCATGTTTGCAACAGAAGAAGATATGAAATCAGCCCAATCAAAACCATTTATGTTTAACAACTTTTGACTTTGTTTTTAGAAGATATAAAATTAGATTATCAGAATGCTAATCAAATGTTGCGAACTATATTAGATAAATTTAAAACTCGTTATATTGTCGCAAAATCAAAATCTGCCTTTTGATTATCTTTTTTTCTTTATAATCTTAATTACAATCTAGATCTGATAGTTTAAGTTAAAGGCAGTGCATATATACGAGTATTGGTTGAGTCAATTAAACAATGCAAAAATAAAAATAATTTGGATCCTTAGGCTATGCCTGTCTAAAAAAAAAGAAAAGCAAAAAAAAAATAATAATTTAAGCAAGAATATACTAAATAATCAGCTAAACTAAATAGCTATATATAGATTTGTAGAATTTACAAATTTTACTTTGCTATTATTATTATTATTTTTTTTTTATAAATGTAATTTGTTTGAATAATGTTATACTTAATTGAACTGTTTATTAATGCTCTTAATAAAATATAAAATAAATATATTTTAGTTCAAATATTGGTATTTGACTTCAACTCAATTAATTTATATAAATGCTAGGATAAGAGTTAGACAGATAAATTGATATTATTAGTATAACCTGAGATGTGCTAATTTTTTTGTTAATTTGAACAGATTATATTATTTACTGATAATTATTTTATAGAAAACTTAATTTATAAACAAAATTATTTACAAATGACTAATTTAAAAGTTTATTTTACTAACAGTTCACTAAAGCTAATAATATTTAATTTATTAGTTATAAAATTTAATAAAATAATTATAACTAATTTATTAAATTACATATATAAAATATTATAATTCAATTGTAGCTATTATTACTAATTTTACTATTTTCTTCATTCACTATCTGTTGTGTTAAGCTAATCAAATTATATTTCATATTGCCTAAATTATGATTTCTTTCATAAAGTGCTAATCTATTTGTAGTAGATTCAAACAAAATATTGTTTGTTGCTAAAAATGCAGATAATGACAAATCAATAATTTGAGAAATACTTAAATCAGTAGATAATGTTTGTTGTAAATCATTATTTTCTTTGATGTTTTCATTTTCTAAAATTTTTATTTGTTGTATAGATGTCAATTGGTCAAAATTTTTTTTTAGTTTATTCTTAGTAATATCTTTGCTATAAATTTACAATTCTTTTTTTATATTTAAAATATAAAAAGATCTAATTTTTGCAATAGATTTAAGATATAACAAGTTTAATTAAGTATGTTTATCATCAAGAAGCCATTTAACTGCCAAAAAATTTCTTTCACAAACAGTCTAAGATAGAACAATTAAAAACAAAAATACTGCAAGATCTTGTAATTCATTATTTTCATTATCTTGTATATTAATGCCTATCTACTATTTAATTAAAGTTTTTTTAAATTAATTATAGCTTAGATTATAAGAGGTTTTTTCATCTTCAGACTCTTATTTCAGTTAAAAATTTTAAACATGATATTTCAGTATAGTCCAAATTATACTAAATAAGTGAGACAGTCTCATATATTCTATTTAATGCTTTCTGTTTTAATCCAAATCCTATAAAATAGATATTATTTCTTAATTTATAAAATATTAAAAAAATAAATAAATAAATAAATAGCAATTCTATTTTAATCAGATTAAGAGTAGGATGTAACATTTTAAATTTATATATAAACTTGATGATATATTTTTTTTGTAATCTTAATTATGAAAATTTTTATTAATTAAATATTTTTTGAGCTTATAAGTTGTAGAGTAAATTCTTGTAATTCTAACAATAGTAAAATCATTAAAATTGGTTTAAACTCATCAAAATATGAATTTTTAAAGATTAGATATAAAAATTTATTATTAAAACTCTTTTATAGGTTTTTGGAAATTAGCCAATTAAAGTTAACTCTTTTGTGTAACCAGAGAAAAACATAGAATGTCCAGGAAAAATTCAAGGTATATACAAATATAATTTTTTTAAATTAAATATCTTATAAAATTTTAAAATAATAAATAACTTATTTAAATCTATATATTATTGAATTTTGATAAAAATTAATTAAAAAATTAAAAGTTTTATTAGTAACATATTTTAATTTACTATATAGGTCATATGAAAAATGATCTATATACATTCTACCCTTAAAGTTACCTATTGAATATTAATAAAATTATTAATTTATAGTCTATTAGGTAATTTTAAGCTGAGTAAAAATAGAATTCTTTTAATTAAATAATATTATCATGATACAAAAAATGAAACCAATATGCCAATATATATATCATTTATAAATTCTTTAAAACAAATATTAAAGTTGGTAATAATTAAAAACTTCTATCTGTTTGCTAAATCAATCTGATTAATACTTGCACTAAGTTTTACTAAACTGACAAAACATTCAGCTAAATTTGCATTTCAAGCCTCAAGACTATTTGTTAAGTCTTTGATTAGTTTAAGAATTAAAGATATTTAGCAACATTTTGAATAAAATTCTTTATTTTGAAGCAAATCAAATACTTTATTATTTGAAATTATTTTAGAATGATTGTCTAAAATCTATATAAAAATATAATTTATTAATAATTGATTAATAATTCATGAAATAGTGTTGAGTCAATAGAAATCAAGCAAATTTTTTCTAAGTAAATTTTTTTAAAACTTTAAATAATAATAACTTAACAACAACTTAATTAAATTTAATAATTTTTTTTTTAAATAAGTTTTACAAACTTATAAAATTTATTTAAAAAATTTTTATTAAATTTGATCAAGTTTTTGTTAAGGTATTGGCATTTAAAGTTGTTAAAAAAATTTAATAAAAACAATTTGATTGATTTCTACTGACTCAACTCAAATTAATTTAAATTACAGTTTAATTTATTTACTCAATCAAACACAAGTTTTGATTGAATAATAGAATCCATTTTAGTATATAATATACCTTATTATGTTTTTGAGTATAATTTAATTTTACCACCTTTTATTTTCATAATAGTTAATTGTTCTTTATAATAGCTGTGAGCAATATGTAATCTATTAAAGAACTTTAAAATACTATTACAATTTGAAATAATTGCTTTAATAGAGTCTATCTTTGTAAGATCTGAAGCAAGCAAATTAACAGCATGTGATGCACATCTTAGATTTAAAATAAAGAGATATTTTTTATGAACAATTTGATATGCAACTTTTAAATTTGATCTATTATTAGTCATGATCACTGCAAATTTTCTAATTCCAATATTTTGTATTATGTTTTGAATTTTACTTGTTATAAATTAACCTATTTGATTTTTAGTATTATACAATTTAAGCTTAATCAAATACTTCTTTTTTTTGATGTTGTAATGATATAATTATATATTGAGTCTCTTCTTAGAGATGTTCATCCATCAAGGCCTAAATAAATTAAATTAAATTAATATTTATATATTTAAAATAAATACAGTATAGCTTAAAAATTAAACATACTAAGAGTAAGATTGTTTTTTTTTTGTAATTTATTCTCAATTTTTTTTTCAATTCTAATTGTTTTTTTATCCAAAAGCCTTCCTGTAAGAGTATGATATAATAGTATATATATTTCAAAATAGTAAGCTTAAAAAGATCAATAATAAAGAAGTTTTTTATAATATTAAAAGAAAAACTACAACACATTTATGCTTTCAGAATTGCCTGGTAAAGTTCATTAGCTCTAGTTTCATAAACAGGTATAATCTGCTGAAAATGTGTTGTAATATTATATTGTTTTATATTTCTTAAATAAACTATTAGTCTATTTGGAGTTTCTGCTAAATATTCTTTTCACAATATTTTTATATTTCAAGATACATTATTATACTTTCTAGCTAAATAAACTTTCATATCTTGTGAACATCCTTTTGTCCAATTTGTAATACATTATTTACAACTTGCTATATAAAACTCTTGTTCTAAAGCTGTACCTTTATTAATGTAATCCTATATAGCATTTTCTTTTTTCTCTCTAGCATGTTTTCATTTTTTTTTTAATGAATTTGATAACTCCTGATCAGAAACATTTTTTTCAGAATAATGTGATATATCCTAAGATAAGGTTATACTGTTATTATTTGAGCTTGAACTGTTAAATGTAAAATGCATTTGATGTATTATAATGATTAAATTTAATATGTACTAAAGACAAGCATATTAGTATAAAGTTTTTAATTATACAAAAAAAAAAACTAGCAATAATAGTCTATATAAAAAATGTTTTATATAAGTATCTACTAATTTTGGAAATTAAGAAGATAGACTATAAAAAAATTTTTGCAAATACTAGATTATCAATCCTTAAATAAAAATATTATAAGAGCTAGATTTTTAATTCTTAAAAATATATTTAGTAATCAAGATAATGTTATTGCCATTATAACAATAATAAAGAGTATATATAAGCTAAGTATTGTATAATATCTGATGCCAAAATTAAATTATAATTTTATTTATAATAAAATAAGTGCTATACTAAACTAAAAATAGATTATATATTATATAATTAGCCTTCTAAATTTTTTGCTAATATAAAATATTCTATCTAGATAATAACTTCCAACTTATAAATTTTAAATCTTTTATAATAACTAGAAGCACCACATGTACTTGCAATATAACTTATATTGATAACTTTTTAACAATAATAAATACCTTCTATTTTAGTAATGTGTTCATATTTTTTGATCCTAATTCATTTATGATAACAATATTCAATATTAAGTGTTCATTTGTTAATAGTTTTTAAAAATATTAAAAGATTCATATTTATTTATAGCTTTTCCATTTCCTTAACTATAACTAATATTATAGGTTCCATTAGTATTATCTATATTAGTGAATTATTAACAATAAATAAAAATCTTTCATTTATTCTTTTTAATTCCAATTTTATTCTATAATTCTATAATAATAACTAATACTAAATATTATAAAAATGCAAATTAAAGTCTTATATTCATCTTGTATGCTTTATTCAATTAAAAATCAAACATTCCAAACAAATAGCAAATTGTATATAAAATAGAAAGAGAAAGATTAATTATGATTAAATCTAGATTTGACTATTATTATAAATAGAACTATATATAAGTAAATCTTCTAGTAAAATGCTAAATAGCAACAATTAATTAGTTTCACAATTTGTTAATATGAATAACAAAAAGAGATAACTGTAAATCATATTTTATGAATGCAAAAATACTAATCTTGATGGATCATTGGTACTGTTTTTGATAGATATAGTACAGAACAGTAAAAGACATCTAATCAATACATATAGGTGCCAATTTTTGGTTCTTATATAATCAATTTTGATTGGCTAATTTTTGTGTAATTGATTTT